CCCTTTCCCTCCCACCTCTCATCCCTGTTTAATGTTAATCTTCTTCTCATGCTCTTCGACCCTACTCTGTTCTTAGTTACTCTCCTTATATCAAAGAAGACATTTGGCATTTGTTTTTTAGGGATTGGCTAGCTTCACTTAGCATAATCTGCTCTAATGCCATCCATTTCCCTGTAAATTCTATGATTTTGTCATTTTTTAATGCAGAGTAATACTCCATTGTGTATAAATGCCACATTTTTTTTATCCATTCATCTATTGAAGGGCATCTAGGTTGGTTCCACAGTCTTGCTATTGTGAATTGTGCTGCTATGAACATCAATGTAGCAGTGTCCCTGTAGCATGCTCTTTTTAGGTCTTTAGGGAATAGACTGAGAAGGGGAATAGCTGGGTCAAATGGTGGCTCCATTCCCAGCTTTCCAAGAAATCTCCATACTGCTTTCCAAATTGGCTGCACCAATTTGCAGTCCCACCAGCAATGTACAAGTGTACCCTTTTCCCCACATCCTGTCCAGCACTTGTTGTTGTTTGACTTCATAATGGCTGCCAATCTAACTGGAGTGAGATGGTATCTTAGGGTGGTTTTGATTTGCATTTCTCTGACTGCTAGAGATGGTGAGCATTTTTTCATGTACTTGTTGATTGATTGTATGTCCTCCTCTGAGAAGTGTCTGTATAAAATAAAATACTTGGGAATCAACCTAACAAAAGAGGTGAAAGACTTATACAATGAAAACTACAGAACCCTAAAGAGAGAAATAGAAGAAGATCTTAGAAGATGGAAAAATATACCCTGCTCATGGATAGGCAGAACTAACATCATCAAAATGGCGATATTACCAAAAGTTCTCTATAGGTTTAATGCAATGCCAATCAAAATCCCAACGGCATTTCTTGTAGAAATAGAGAAAGCAATCATGAAATTCATATGGAAAAATAAACGACCCAGAATAGCAAAAACAATGCTAAGCAGGAAGTGTGAATCAGGCAGTATAGAGATACCAGACTTCAAACTATACTACAGAGCAATAGTAACAAAAACAGCATGGTACTGGTACCAAAACAGGCGGGTGGACCAATGGTACAGAATAGAGGACACAGAAACCAATCCACAAAACTACAACTATCTTATATTTGATAAAGGGGCTAAAAGCATGCAATGGAGGAAGGATAGCATCTTCAACAAATGGTGCTGGGAAAACTGGAAATCCATATGCAACAAAATGAAACTGAATCCCTTTCTCTCGCCATGCACAAAAGTTAATTCAAAATGGATCAAGGAGCTTGATATCAAGTCAGAGACACGCCGTCTGATAGAAGAAAAAGTTGGCTACGATCTACATACTGTGGGGTCGGGCTCCAAATTCCTCAATAGGACACCCATAGCACAAAAGTTAATAACTAGAATCAACAAATGGGACTTACTCAAACTAAAAAGTTTTTTCTCAGCAAAAGAAACAATAAGAGAGGTAAATAGAAGCCTACATCCTGGGAACAAATCTTTACTCCTCACACTTCAGATAGAGCCCTAATATCCAGAGTATACAAAGAACTCAAAAAATTAGACAATAAGAGAACAAACAACCCAATCAACATATGCCATCTACTTTTGGGCTGAAGTTTTTCTGAAGAAATTCTGTTGGATAAGCATAGTTTAGAGCTTTATATCAATTCTCAGTATCAAATATTTCAACTTGGAACTAGGTTTTGATTAGGTGAGTTCATGAGGCTGGCCCAATATGACATCATTTACCTAAATGACATTCATCTTAAAAATTTGGTTTTTGTAAGTCTTATACTGTTTTTCCCCTCAAAAGGTTTGTTTTTGTGCATCCAAAAGTTTACTCCCTTCAATGCCAAATTCTGCATTTGTGCTTTTTTTTTTTGGTTTCCTCCTTCATAATTTCACTTTAAAAATTGACCCATTAAGTCCCAAATTTTCAATTCTGTGAGTGAAATTGGCATAAGTTGCACTCAAATAGGTTGAAAACACTAATCTAGAGCTTGTATAATTATAATAGTAATATAACATTCAGCTACTGGGCTTCTATCTTTAATACCATATGCATTGTTATATTACTATTATAATTATATTATTATAATTATACTACCTACTACATAATTAAACATTACATACTATAAATAGGTTTTTATAGGTGTTTCACTTCTGGGACAATGGGGCAAAATGGGTTAAACTCCTCTCTCACAGTATTGCTCTCTTATACTCCTTCCCTTTCTCCTGTTTATATAGCTTCATTCTCTATTTTTTTTTTCTTTTTGGTACCAGGTATTGAACCTAAGGAAACTGAAACACTGAGCCACACTCCCAGCCCTTTTTTATTTTTTAATTGGAGACAGGGTCTCCTTAAGTTGCTGAGGCTGGCTTTGAACTCAAAATCCTCTTGCTTCAGCTTCCTGAACTGCTGGGATCACAGGCTTGCACCACCATGCTCAGCTAGTTTCATTCTTAAAAACAAAACCATACAAAATTCTTTCCTAACACTTCTTTTTCCTTGTCTTTCTCTTCCTCTGTCAACCTTTTAGAATAACAGTCTAGATCTAATGTCATTTCTTGACATTCAGCTACTGGGCTTCTATCTTTAATACCATATGCATTTTTGAAGACGATGACTTCCTGGCTGTCATGTCCTCTGATCTTTTTTCACTACTCAGGATATTCTCTCCTTAAAGCTTCCTTCCTCTTTCAGTTTAATGACATTTTAAATGTCTGTTGGTTTACTGTAGCACTATGATTTTTTTCTAGCACTAGGATTTTTTCTAACTCTATTGTTTCCCTGAATCATCACTTTCTTCTGTGTCCTGACCTATATGTATTTATGTGTGTGTGTGTATGTATATGTGTATATATGTGTGTACATATGTGTATTTATGTGTGTGTGTATATATGTATATATGTATGTATATATGTATGAATACTTCTGACGTTTAATGGTTCTCAGAATAAGCTATACAGAAGAAATAATTGTGGCACCTCAAAATATATAGTTATTTTGGCCCTACCATCACTCAACTGAATGATACTCTTTTAAGTATGTTTTTAAACAACTGATCTTGTAATTCTGGTATATATCTATGGTTGTAGGTGTTTCTCAAAGATCTACATCCTTCCTTCAATATTCTCTGCTTTGGCAATTTCATGGTTTTTGGACTTCCATATTTTTTTAAGTAATCATTTAGTAGTTTTTGATTATTACAAGAAAGAAAAAGCCATTCTGTAGACATATTACCTTTAATACCTTACTGAAAGACTTTTCAAAGCCATATGTATAATTCGTACCTCTAAGACATTTGTTAATCTCTCCATTGGAAGGGTTGCTTAGATTCTAATTGATCTCCAACCTTCTATTCAGCACCGCCAGATTATGGGTATAAGGCACTAATCAATACAGGACACTCCTCTACACAAAAACCCTCAATTACCCTTGGATTGTAAAGTTTTGCATTAAAGACTTGTAAGATCTGGCTAGAAACTGTGCAATTCAGTCTTTCCTCTTTTATTATAGGACAAAGAGTGTAGACTTTGAAGTCAGACATATTTGGGTTTGAATAATGTTTAGCCTTGGCAAATAGTTTAAATCCTATAAATCTAATTTGTTTATAAATGAAAGAAAGATAATTCTGTCTCCTTCTTAAGATTGTCTGGAGGACAACATATCTGTTTTCCTTATAGTTTATGTGGAAGAACTGTAGTAATTCTCAAAGTTCAGAGCTACAATGTCCATTACAATAGTCAACAGCTACATGTGGCTACTGAACACTTAAAAATGTGCCTATTCCAAATTGAAATGCACTATATACACCAGATTTCAAAGACAATATAAAAAATTTATGCTATGTCTCAGTAATAACTTTAAATTGACTATATGTTGGAATGATATTTAGCTATGTTAGACTAAATAAAAATATATTTTTCAAATCATTTAACCTGTTTCATTTTATTTTTTAATGAGGTATTAGGAAATTTAAAATGACACATTTTATTTCCAGTGAACAGCGCTTTTAAGTTCTCCTGGTTAATATTCTAGGCTCTCCTTCTGAGAAACCATGTATGAAATTATAAGTTGAAATGCTACTCAATTGTTCAGAATTTGTGCTTTCTTCAGAGTCTCCAGAGCTCACATTCTCTTGAAATGCCTCTTTTTCTACCTTCCTGGCATTAACTGAACCCATTGTTGGTTTTTCTACCACTGGCCATGGTACAGATGCACTTAACTGTGGGTCATTACTCCCCACAAGTTTGACAAGTTCTCTATTCTGATGCCTTTATATGTCTTTTTATTCTCTAGAGTACTGAACATTGTGGCAATTGATTATATGTTGATTGAATCTGGATATACTTTAAATTTTGATGTGGTAGCTATTGCTTATAATTCTAGTACATGGGAGGCTAAGGTGGGAGGATTGTAATTTTGAGGGCAACCTGGGCAACTTAGTAAGACTCTGCCTTAAAAAAAAAACCAAAAAAAGGCCTTTAAATTCATTTAGAATACTTCATTAGAAATTTCACTTTTCATTTCCTTATGATTCCTAGAGAACTATTTCTGAATTACATTTCTTAATTGAACAAAAAATTTGTTCCCAAATCAATACTACTCTCTAGAAGAATTAGGGATTCTCCTTACAGTCATTTAACTTCATGTACAGGAAATTCCCAAACTGTTTAATGTCATCATACTTAAGTTCTTCATTTAAAACTAGTGATAACACTAAACCAGTAATGTACAATATTTCTTATGCCATAGTAATTTAGTCAGATAAAGAAAAAGACATATATAAGAAAAGAGGGTCTTTATTCAGGGATGAGTGAAAAGAAGATGGCTGAAGAAGGATTAATTAACATTAAACTAATATTTTCTAAAGGTAATGTTGGAATGCAGATGATTATTGACTTTGATGAGCCTGAGAAGGGAAACAGCAAAGTAGAACAAACTTTTAAAGATTTTTTACTAATAATGTTCAGTACAATTTTTCTTACTTACCTCATTGCCACATTGCTGCCATCAATAACAACTGGTCTTAGATTTTCACCATCATCTGTTACAATCTCTTGCATTGGCGATTCAGACCTCTGAGATTCCAGGGAAGAAGTTTCCCGCATTATAGTGTTAATTGTACTAACTGTTTGATCAGCCTCACTTTTATTTCCCAGTTTGACAAGTTCTCCCAAAATATCATTGATTAAAGCATCAGTACCAAGTTTGTTTAATACAAGCTGAACCTGTTCTTCAGAATAACCCAACTTAAGTGCAAACTCCAGTTTTGTTTGGTATTCTCGCACCACATCAGGGGGTTTCTTCACTTCCTTGGACGGAGTCTGGGACTCTTCAGGTTTAAAGTCTTGCAAAATTTCATTGTGTTTGAGTAGGTGAGGCTCTAAGCAGGGAGACCTACATAATTGTCTGTGAGTCTTGGTTAACAAGCATGGCTCTACTGAAATGCTATTCAATTGTTCTGACTCATGATCAGAATTTGTGCTTTCTTCAGAGTCACCAGAGCTCACATTCTCTTCAGATATCTCTTTTTCCTCCTTCCCGGCATTAACTGTATCCATTGTTGATTTTTCTATCATTGGCCAAGGTACAGCTGCACTTAACTGTGGGTCAGTGTTCTCCACATACAGGTGGCCGAGGTCATGCCCCAGGTGATCCTTCAAGCCCATGAAGCTGTTACGTGTACTTGACTCCACTTTGCTGTTTTTTCTGTATTCCTGAATGCAAAGTACACCGTATTCCTATAGAAAAATGTAAAATATTCAGAATTTCATACTTATTGTTTGATTTAAGTCTTACTGGAGAAGTTAGTGAACTGTCAAACTATAGAACATCTAGTTTGTATTCTGTTTATATCCTCTCATCACTCATAACATGCTTGCCAAGACCTCTCATGCCCCATTTTTCAAATGAAGAGGTTATGAATTAGAAAGGCCATGTAATTTCCTCCAAGGCAACAATTAGTAATGTAACTGGATATTTTATTCAGTTTTTTCCTAACTCTTAAACCCATCTTTTTCCCACTATACCAGAATGCTTCTCAACCGTAATGGCAGAAATTTTCCCGTTTATATTTCTAGAATGACCTACAGAATACTATCAAAAAGCATATTTTCAAAATATTATGACAGGTTGAGTACATTTTTCCTAACCTTAATTCCTAAAAGTCTGTAAAAATCATTTTTTAAAAAAGCGATATAGGGGGCTGGGGATGTGGCTCAAGTGGTAGCGCGCTCGCCTGGCATGCGTGCGGCCCGGGGTTCGATCCTCAGCACCACATACAAAGATGTCGTGTCTGCCGAAAACTAAAGAATAAATGTTAAAAAAAAAAAACAAAAAAATTCTCTCTCTCTCCCTCTCTCTCTCTCACTCTCTCTTAAAAAAAAATCAAAATTAAAAAAAAAAAAAGCGATATAGGAAGAAAGGAGAACATTAGTTCATCATACTTGAAAACTTATCATTAACCTGGATGAAGCTTACTAATGTAAATTAAAGACATTTTCAAAATAATTTGTATATTGAAAAATATTCACATTTTATAAAATGACCAATAAGGAATTAAATAATTTCAAAGTTAATTATGTTCTACTTGGAGGTGAATATAGTTTTGCCTTAATAATCATGATTTTGTGAATATTGAACATGGTAACAAAATATAATTTTTCACATTATGCTATTCTTATTAAGTGGCAGTGGTATTACATTCTGTTTCATTCCAGAAAAAAGAAAGAGTTCTTTTAGCCTATGTGCACTTATGGAAAGAATAGAAATTAAATACTTCACATAAAGTTAGTCGCAAATAATTAAGCACACCAAATAAATAATCTTATCTCAATTTCCTGAATTTTATGGCAGAAAATATTTCTGTATTGCATCAGATTAACAGTTAACTTGCATTTCATTAAAAAAATCACCTCTAAATTTTTTCCCTGTGGGAATATTTTTAATGATTAAAATGTTTTGCTATTATACAATTTTTCCTTAAAGTCTATTGGAGATAATTTCCATTTCTCTATTAGGGATGAGTTAGAAATATAAAGTTATTTTCTCTAGTGCTTCACTGTATGAACTATGTCAACATAAGTTGTTTATTGATTAAAGTAATTCTAGTGTTCTACACAAGTGCAACATTAGTAAACCAGTGGTAGCTGAATTTGAGACTGTCATTAAACACCTATTTAAATAACCTAATAAAACTGGGAAAACATTTATTCTAAGGCTCTTCAACATAACATACATAGAAGAAAAGAGCTATTATATAAATGTTAAAAGAAAATGCAGAGTAATTTTCTGACAAGTCACAAATTTGAAAACATATCTAATAAACTTCATGAGTCAAGTATTTCAACAAAGTGAAATTTTATTAGCTTTGGTAAACACTATAGATGAGAACATGGAATCTTTACAATCCACTTAAAATTCCCACAGTGTAGAACTCCTACACACTTCTACAAAAGTTTCTTCAGAGTTTATTCTGAGAAGACAGATAACTTTAATATCACTGTTCTACTAATAGAACATTCATTAATTTTAAAGCAACTCCAAACTTTCCTAGTCCTGATTGCTCAACTGGTAAAAGGATATTCCTTAAAAGAGCTCTGTATACATTTGTTCCATTGTGAGCTGTATTCATTTCAATTTCTTCTGTTAATATGGATATGCATATCCATATTATTATTTAGAATTAAGGAAGAGAGTTTGAAAGCAAATCTTTACACCCTGTGATTTATTAACTACTGTAATATACTAACACTATAATGTAAGTAACAAATCACAACAGCATCCTAATAAAGGGATACAGTTAAAAGAAAAATCTACACTGTGGCCTTAGTAGAGCTCCCACCAAAAGTATCTTAAACAAGGAAAACCTATTGGAAGCTGGGCTGCCTGGCAACCAGAAGCTGGTTGCTAAGCTGCACTCCTTTAACATGCCATCATGAATGCTAGCACAGTGAAAGAATAATTTGGTATGAACAAAAGCCTATAAAAGAGACTGGGACTTAAGTGCGTCTGGTTTACCCTCTGAGAACAATGCAGCTGCCAAACCAATCTGGAAGCTCCGACATCATTGTTCTGTAAACCCCACAATCTGCTCTGACTGCAGGAAGTGCATTTAATGGGCAACATTTTTGATCTCTCCTGAAAAGTTTGGGTTTTGCATAAGTGCTGTTGTGAGATAATTCTTCAAGATAATGACTTGCTGACCAAACCCCTGAATTGAAGTAGGAAATATTATTTTATTGAGCAACAGTATTGTTGATTTTTAATTTTTTTTTTGGGGGGGGGGATAACAAACAAAAGGAGTATCTTATGAAAAATACAGCCAGTGAGGAACACTAGAATAAAAAATTTTGTTTAAAGGATAAGTGGATTTTCATAATTTTTGACTTTCAAAGAAATAAAACCAGATACTATAAAGTTTTTAAATGGTAAATTAACTACTCTAAAAGTATTTAAAACTATTTCATCTTAAATCTAGTATTTTAAAAAGTACGAATGGTACTACTATATGGCTATAATGAAAAGATAGGGAGAAAAATGGGGTTGTTTTTCAAAATTTTAGACCACTTAAAACTCAATGTACTTTTAACTTGTGATAATACATGTCATTTGTACATTTTAATAAAGAGTTTTTAATAATGTAAACTATCCTAATCTTTAAAATTAACATTCAATTTAGTTTGATAACATAATTTAAAAATATATATATTTTGGTTGAACGTTTTCTGTAATGCTAGGTCCCTCCTCTTCATCATCTAGATTTCAATAGTTAGCTCAGAAAAAGTTATCTAATGCCATCTTGTACTAAACAAGCAGTTAAAATGATTTTTAGCTCCTATAAAGCAAAAAGACTAAATATAAGTAGTAAATGTAAGGGAAAATGAGTTCAATTTCCAGGCCTACAAGCCACATATATACTCTCCATCATAAAACACTTATTTAAAATAACCTGATTTGTATTGACCCAATTGATAAAGATCTGATTTTTAAAACTTCAAGTTATGCTTTTCTATTCATGATTTAAAAGGTGCTCTTAATATGGAACATTTCAGAATTTGGCAATATTTAAAATCATTCAGTAAAAAAACGAAATGCTAAAGATTTAAAATATTTCCATAGACATTTGTTAATAAAATGGGATATGTAAAATTTAAATATAATTATTGTTAAGTAAAGTAAAAAATACTTTCCTCATTTCTAAACTACTTAAGCTCTGCATTTACTCAAATGCAAGTTTATGTAAGTCATCTTAAATTTAACCAAGAATTATCTTATAACAGCACTTATGCAAAACCCAATATTAATATTAATATTTAATATTACATAAGGATGATTTTCCTTATTTCATGGAGGAGTATAGTCAAAGTTTTCACACATAACATAGACCAGTTTATACCCCACTCCTAGATTATCACAAAACTCTAAGAAACATGGCTTACTCTTAAACTTTATATCAGGTTCTATTATAACTGGCCTCTACATACTATATTCTTGAACACAAAAAGGTATTAGGCAAAAAATAATAATCCCAAACAGATTTCTACAGTTTTAAATCTTTGGATTCCCTCCAGATATTGTTCTGGAAATTCAAATTTTCTTGTTAAAGGCTACCTAAAACCTAAGTAATAGTATTTGTTGAAAGAGAACTAAATTATCATGATAATTCTGTAGATGATGATGAAGTATAACAAATTGTTTTAATTACCAAAAAGAAACTTTGTAATAGCTGAATGCAGTTTAACATATGGTGATTACTTATTAGAAATTTATCACACATACTGTATTTCTCCCATTTAGTGAAGAGATTTTCAGAAATTTGTCATTCAACAACTTGGATAATACTTCATCTTAAACCAGGTAACAATATTATTTTTTTAATATTCTAAAGAGTCTCATATTAATCAGGATATTAGACCATAAACTTGTTAAATCAATTTAACAAGTAATATAAAGTATTACTTTATATTAAATATAAAATAATACGGTAATATAAAGTTACAATGCCATAAAAGTAGGTTCTGGTTGTTATCCAAATGGTAATACTATGAGAACAATAAAAATAAAATAATGAATATGTAATAAATACCGACTGCTGTAGCCTCTGTGTATTTAATTACCATTGTATATGAGTGAGTGCTGTTGTCTGCATCCCCCTAGCTAACAAAGGAAGGATGTCCCTTTGAACAGACTGGTTAATGCTCTGGGGCAACAGATGTCTACTGGAACTGCAGGAGACCAGCAACTGGTGGCCTGCCCATCTTCTGAAAACTTTCAATAGACTTATGCATATGTTCACACAATAGGGCATGTGGTAGAAATGAAAACCTCTTTTTAACCCTTTATACTCTTTCTTTCTCTCCTAACTGATAGATTGAAAAGTCTTTGTCCTCCATTCCCCATTACAGAACTCTTGAAATCAATAGTTCTTGGAATGACATCTTTAATCTAGTATCTGAAAATAATGCAAAAGAGGAAAAAAGGTAGGAGAGTAGAAAATGAAAACTGTACATGAATACTGAAAGTGCTGACAAAGCGACTGAAATGCTCAATCATATTTAAAACCAGCTGTTTGAAACATCTTCATGTGTCAATCCATCTCCCTAGGCTAGACTTAACATAATGGAAAAATCTACCAAATCTCAGCATCATTTTACAGCACTTAGGTTTGACCATCTCCTTAAGAAACATAAGAATCTGACAAGAAGATAAAATATAAATTCACTGTTTATCACAA